TAAATAATCCACAGCTGTGCCAAACAGAGCCTAAGCCTCAAAAGGTCAATAAAGTCTAGGGGCATTTATATAAATAATACACAAAACTTATGCATTTACAAATCTAACACCTAAACTTTCATGTTTACATTTATAACACTCAAATTTTGGCGTCACATCAAAAATATAACAATTATTAACTCTTTAAAAATGAAATACATGTTTTCATGAATATATTAATGATACTAAAGTGTTATAAGTAATTTTGGATATTAGATATGTAAATCCATGAGAATTGTGTGATATGTATGTAAATTTCTCTAGAGTCTATTAAAAAAGAAGCAAGAAGATCGTCTCAGGTATAACTACTTGAGCGACATTTTCTTTTGAAGAAACCCACCAAAAAAAATGATGATTGCCTATGTGGAGATTGGTCCATCTTTAGATACACTGGCAATAGCAATGCTATGCAAATCAAATGTCATAAGACCAACAGGATGTATGTTTATGTAAATATTCCAAAAAATAAAAAGAATATTTACATACATGATACATACCACTCAAATCCTATGTATTTACGTATCTAACACCTAAGCTTTAATTTTTACATGCATACATTTAACCTATGAAAGAAAAGTTGTATTTCACTTTTTAAATGTTAAAATAGTGGTTTTTTTTTATGTGATATGAAAGATTTGGCTGGTACAAATGTAAAAAAACAAAGTTTTGGTGTTAGATGTGTAAGTGCATAGGAATTGGGTGGTATGTATGTAAATTGTTGGATGCAGGAAATTGTTGTAAAACGTGTGGGGATGTCATCCCCATTTGTAAAACGCTTCATCCTTGTTATTTCACCTCCAAAAGGGGCTGCAATTGTAGTTTAGGATTGCTGAATGGATTTGCAAAAAAACATGATTGGCTCACACCTTTATGATGGGCTGAATTTGTTGTTTTCGGTGGGGAGAAGAATGGATTTCTAGTTCACTTATTGCATAAAAAAAATGGATATGGAGTTCATGTTGGGTAGCAAAATTGATTTTCAAAAATTCCAAATACTTCCCTGCACACTTCCATGCTAAAATTGTTGCAGTATGCACAAAAGTTTTTCTTTTTTACTTGCTGCAGTAAAGATATTTTTCTTTACTGTAAAGGTAATGCTAGTTACACTTGACTCTCCTATCTTGGCTTTGAAAGAAGCAGGGGTCAGAATCTGTGCATTGTAAAGCATTCTAATATTTCTTAAGTTGAATATTTTAATATTTCTCCTTGTTGTTGTACTTGTATTTGTCCTTTTTTTATTTCTCCTGGTACTCATTAAGATGTAAGAACTGTATGGTATCTTTTAGAACTGATCTGTGATTATCGTATGTTTCTGCACCATGTTTTTTTCTATCAATAAGCTATTCTGAATAAGTTGCCCCAAACAGTTTATCAGACAGGGGCAGGAATGTCATTTAACTACTAATAAGCTAGTCTGAATAAACTGCCCCAAACAACAAGCCAGATTATTCTGATAATCTATAAATTATCAGATTATCAGAATAATCTGCTTATCAGCAGATTATAAATAATCCACAGCTGTGTCAAACAGAGCCTAAGCCTCAAAAGGTCAATAAAGTCTAGGGGCATTTATATAAATAATACACAAAACTTATGCATTTACAAATCTAACACCTAAACTTTCATGTTTACATTTATAACACTCAAATTTTGGCGTCACATCAAAAATATAACAATTATTAACTCTTTAAAAATGAAATACATGTTTTCATGAATATATTAATGATACTAAAGTGTTATAAGTAATTTTGGATGTTAGATATGTAAATCCATGAGAATTGTGTGATATGTATGTAAATTTCTCTAGAGTCTATTAAAAAAGAAGCAAGAAGATCGTCTCAGGTATAACTACTTGAGCGACATTTTCTTTTGAAGAAACCCACCAAAAACAATGATGATTGCCTATGTGGAGATTGGTCCATCTTTAGATACACTGGCAATAGCAATGCTATGCAAATCAAATGTCATAAGACCAACAGGATGTATGTTTATGTAAATATTCCAAAAAATAAAAAGAATATTTACATACATGATACATACCACTCAAATCCTATGTATTTACGTATCTAACACCTAAGCTTTAATTTTTACATGCATACATTTAACCTATGAAAGAAAAGTTGTATTTCACTTTTTAAATGTTAAAATAGTGGTTTTTTTTTATGTGATATGAAAGATTTGGCTAGCACAAATGTAAAAAAACAAAGTTTTGGTGTTAGATGTCTGGTACAAATGTAAAAAAACAAAGTTTTGGTGTTAGATGTGTAAGTGCATAGGAATTGGGTGGTATGTATGTAAATTGTTGGATGCAGGAAATTGTTGTAAAACGTGTGGGGATGTCATCCCCATTTGTAAAACGCTTCATCCTTGTTATTTCACCTCCAAAAGAAGAAGCCAAACCATTTTCCTCTGAGGGCATGTAAATACATACCACACAGTTCCTATGTATTTACATATCTAACCATTTATACCACCTAAATCTTTCATATCACATCAAAAATACCACTATTTTTACATTTAAAAAGTGAAATACACCGTTTCAAGCATAGATAAGGTGGCATATATGTTAAAATTGAAGCTTAGGAGTTGTATGTGTAAATACATAAGAATTAAGAGGTATGTGCTACCATTCAGATTTAAGTATAAGGATTTCTTATGAAGAAACTTCAACATTTTATCATGAAATAAGTGAGAACATGGGATAAAAACATAAATTAAATACTAGTAAAAATAGAAGCTTTATTACATTCAATAACTTGAATTTTGGGAAGTAAGAGAGTCCGAGATAAATAAATATACATATAACCGAGTTGCTAAGCAAATCAAAAGTGATTCAGTTTGTTAGAATATTCATATTTAGATCACCTTCATTGTCATCGCTGACTTCTAGAAGAGCTTCTGCTTTCTTAATCGAAGATTGTCTCACTTGAACGGAATTTCCCAGTCCTGTGCGAAACATGGGAAAACACTCACTGCCACAACTCGCTGCAGCAACAATCATTAATCAGCACCCGTTGAAACCTTAACAGTCAATCGCTAACCATTCCCACGATCACTAATTAGCTCCAAAAAGAGGCTAATCAGAGCATGAATCAAAATTCCCTGAAAAAAAAAATGAAGTTCACCTTTATCAACGACATCTTCTTGCTCGAGAATAGATCTAGCCTTCAGAATAGAACTCCGCTGCACAGAAAGCCTCCTGCCAGATCCAGTGCTGAACATCGCACCGCCGCCTCCGTTATCTCCTCTAATTTCCACCGGCTTCAGAGGACCGGCAAGGTGTCGGTCATGAAACCAAGTATTATTCGATAAATAATTACTCTGCCCGGCTTGAATCAGTAAATCCATCATGGAAGGAAGGCGGGATTTGGAATTGATATCTTCTTCCGGAACTAGGGTTGCAGTCGGCCTCTCCGGCCCAGAATCAGGATTTCCGCTAGTGACCACCCACTGGAACTCGCCACCCTTCGTCGGAAGAATCTTCCACGTAGTTGGCTCTGGCTTGGCCGTCATTCCGCACCGGAGTGTTCTCCTCCGTCTTGAAACTGGAGACGAGAAAGAGCGTCAAGGACGACTGATAAGAGGAAGAAGATGAAGCGGGACGAGAGCTTTTGATGGGAAATCCGAGGACTCCCGCGCAGGATGTATTGAGCAGAATCTTTTATTAAAAATAGGTGTTTTACATTAATAGCAGTGACAATATTTTTATTTACATATCTAGCATCTTAAAATTCAATATTACTAAATTCACACTTCCTTTAA